ATCAAATAAAAGTCTTGAAGATTATTGAAGAATTATTGAAGAAATCATCAAATGTCAATATGGTATAAATAATTCTTAAAACCTTGAATATAGATGTTCACAATATGCATTCATCAACATATACATATTCCATAACTTTAACATCAAGAAAAACTTTGTTTGAAATATCTTTCAAAAAGTATTTTTGAAAATAAACCTTTAGGAACCGGTTCCTCCCTAACAGGGAACCGGGTTCCAGCTTTTCTCAAAAAACATGTCCCTGGATTTTGTACCAGGAACCGGGTTGTACCAATAGGGGAACCGGTTCCTGCGTGATAAATTTGAATTCCAACTTATAACGTTCACTAAGAACCGGGTTCTGTCAGTGTCGGAACCGGTTCCTAGCGAACCAATGCAGCTTTTACTTTGTTTTTTGAACATTTTTCAAGTGGTATCTTTTCATGAATGCATTGCAACTTTTCATATGAATTGGCATGAATGAAGAGGTTCTTACAACTTTATAAAATGCATATTTTCTTATTTCAAATATATATTCAACACTTCAATTTTCAAATTAACAAATATACTTCTTCATTAACAATTTTCTCATTCACTCTCATTTGAATTTAAACTTTCATGTGTTCATAATTTTGTGAAACTTGCCATATACACTTTCATTATCATTACAAGTTTCATTCATACATTGTGAACATTTATATACATTATTGAGAATTGTTTTATCTTGAAGAAGAAGATCAATTGAAGATTGATAAAGATCTCCATATACTTCAAACTAAATCATTGTATTACTTAAAGATTTTCCCTTACTATCCAGGATTGTTGGAAGTAAGTGTTGTGATTTGAAGAGGATTGTTCTTCATTCACATTAGTGTTTGTTTGGTCTTAAAGGTGTTAAGAACCTTTGATCACCCTATAGGTTAGATAGTAAGCATAGGATGTACAATCATTCTAACTATAGTGAAATCTTTTTCGTGTTGGAAAGGGGACTGGAGTACTCTCAGATTGTGAGGGGAACCAGGATATATCACCATGTTCTTTACTTTTCCGCATTTATCGCTTTCATCACCGTAATCAAGAAAAGATAAAGATATAATCAAAACCTTCAAACACTTAACCAAAAATTACTACCAAGCATTCTCATAAAACCGAATAAATTTTATAAGACCTAATTCACCCCCCCCCCCCCCCCCCCTCTTAGGCACTTTGAGACTTACAGCATGATCTCAAGAGTTAAATTGCATAATTTTTACATAATGGCATAACTCAAAACATTTCTCAAGATCAATTGGATTGATAGTTGATTTTCAGTCAACTGATCAAAAGTCAACTGTATACTGAAAAGTCAAACTTTGACTTTTTGGTCAAAATCAAGTGTCAAATATCACAATTCATCAAAACATGTCAAAATATGAAACTTATTCATCAAGAAATAAAAAATTCAAGATTTCATTTTGAAAAGTCAAAGTTTTCAAACTTAGAAATTTTTCTAAGTGTTGAAAACTTCATATTTTTTTCATAACTTTGAGCAAATTTTATACCATGATGCAAGATGATTCAAAAGAAACTTTCAAAATGAAAGTTGTAGATCTCCATGAGATCTACAACATTTATTTACACAACTTCTCCTGGAAATGCTTGGATCTCAAGTAATTAATCCATGAAGTCATGGTCATGAAACTAAATACTTAGTGAAAATTTTGCCCTAGTTAAGGCAGGATTTTGACCTAACTTCATGGCAATTTTTCACATATTTACAAGGGGAATTTTCAAAAGTGATTCAAATAGGGGTTGTAGAGCACATTATAAGATTTCCAAAATGTCCAAGAACTCCTTGAGATCATTCTTGAGCAAGGAGAATCAAAGAGATAAAGTTAGGGTTTTCAAACTGAAATTATAGGTCATTTTTTATGAACAAGAATTCAAATCTCAAGCCTATGCTGCAGAATCTTGCTTTGCAGGCCTCTAAACCTCAAGATCTCTCCCTAATCAGAAGATTACACTTGCTTTTGAGCTATTATCCACTTAATTCAAGCTTTATCCAAGATAATTTTCCATTTATGAAACAAAGTTACCATTGTTATTTTGATAAAGCATTGTTTTTGCAAATGTCAACTCTCCTTGAGCTCCTAACTTGTTTCCTCTGTCCACACTCAAGATAAAGGGTCAGAAGAAAACATGTTTAAAGTGCCTAACCACTCTACATGCTTGTACTTTCTCCCTGAGTCATTCGCTCTTGATCTTTGAAAATCTTTTAGAATAATCTTTTAGAAAATGATTATACCCATATTTGTTAAGAGTTTGGAAAAAAAAACTATTCCTAAGAATAAATGTTTCAAGGAATAAAATAACTTCCAATAATTTATATAATCTCATTTATTTTATTCTCATGTAAGAAAGTGGGAATGTTCATTCCTATTAAATTTCACATGATTTTTGTATAAAAAAATATAACTACTAATTTTCTTGAAAATATCAAATAATATGTCAAATATATTTTCTTTAAAATATCCAGAAATCAAACTTCCTTATTTTTATTCCCGAATAACTTATTCCTGAAAAACTCTTTCGAATCCTTGAACCAAACGCACTAAATATTTAAAGAGCGAAATACTTCTATTCATTCAACCCAAGATATACATTTTTGTTATACTTCAAATATCCCTAAAAAAAAGATAACTAAAAATTTAAAAACAACAATAAAAATAAATTTAAAAAAAAAACAAAAATCATATATTTCTAACTCATTCTCTCCTATAACTCGGTTTCTTCAACATCATTTTGGGATGCTTTGAAGTATGTACGTAAAAAAAACATAATTAAAAATTAAAATCGACAATAAAGTTAAAAAGAAAATTAAAAATCATATATTTATAAATGAATATACTTCTTCTATCTCACTCTTTCCAACGACTCTACTTCTTAACATAATTTTGTTATGCTTCAAAATATAGACTTAAAAAAATATAACTAAAAGAATTAGAAAACAATAATAAAATTAAAAAAACACATAATAAAAATATAATAAAAAATTAAAAGTCAATACTAAAGTTAGAAAGAATAGAAAATTTTCATAGATTCAAAGAGATGACGCATCTTCTGACCTTCTAACCTGCTCTTTGATATTAATTATGTGATACTTCAAATTAATATTTTAAAAATTAAATTGATCATCAAACTAATAAGGATATTGAGTCATTCATTGAATCACATAATTAAATCAGATTAAATTAAATAATTTGATTGAATAAATTAGTCTATATAACAAAATTATATATTTATTAAATCAATCAAATTAGATAATTCGACCTCTAAAAAAATATTACGATATTTACAAAAGTTCAAAATAACATAATTTTACAAATTTATTCTTTAAATTTAAATTTTAAATATAATCATCACACATAATAAAATAGTATAAAATACAAATTCAAATAAATTTTTAATAAGGTCTAATTGCAAACGAGAGAAATTTTTTCTAAATTAATTTTGAAAAATATTTACTTTTATTTTAATTTTGTTTTTAAAAAAATTATCAAAACAACACCGTGTATGAAAAAAGATATATTTAATCCGTTAGTTTTTTTAAAACTATCGATTCATCAATTTTTATTATTTTGATCGATTCTGATTGATTCTTAATGATTTAATAACATATTCGATTTAATAATCAGATAGACCGATAATCTCTCTAATTTTTAATTTGACTGACCAATTTGATCTGATTTTTAAAATACTGTTTCAAATTATGGACCTAAAAAAATATAACTAACATGGAGCAAAGGAAAATAAAAACTATAAACTTAGAGTTATTATTTTTAAAAATATTTGTATGAAAATAAAAACCATAGAATAAAGGAGAGAAATTCACCTAAAAAACTACATAGAAAGATAAAAAATAAAAATCATAGGTTTATAGGGTGAGATATAAAACTACTTGTCATATTTTTATAAACATTTTTATTTAATTAATTATTTATAAATAATAATAATAATAATAATAATAATAATAATAATAATAATAATAATAATAATAATAATAATAATAATAATAATAATAATAATAATAATAATAATAATAATAATAATAATAATAATAATAATAATAATAATAATAATAATAATAATAATAATAATAATAGTTAATGAGTGATAATTTATTACGTTTTATATATGATATGTCATTAAAAGTATATTGTTAATTTTATTTTTGGGGGGAAATATATATTGTTGATTTGTCAAGTACTTCAAAGATTTTTATGTGATAATTTATCATAGTTCTATAAATAATAGTGTTTAAAAATAGTGTATTGTGAATGTAATTGATCAAAATTTATATATTTATCATGTCATTTTAATGTTTTAAAAATAAAAAATAAAATTTATTTATTTCTCATACAATGTAAAAAATATTTTATATAATCAATATATTTCTTTTTTTCTTTAAATAATATATCATTAAAAATAGATATATTAACAAATTTAATATAAAAATGTGAGAAGAGACATAAATTTAAAATAGAAAAATTAGTTGTGCTAATGAATTAAAATAGAAAAATTAGTTGTAATAATGAGTTAAAATAGAATGACTAAAATTATAATTAAATTTAAATTATTTTATCTAATTTTAATTATTTTAAGCAAATAATAATAATTTTTATTTATTAATATTAGCAATTTATTTTGGCCAAAAAATATATATAAAAAAATTCAAGAAAAAATATATATTTAGAAAGATATTATATTCATGTACATAAGTTATATTCATGTACCTAAGATATTATAGTTATGTGCATGCACTTATATTCTGGTTTATTAAAAAAAGTACATGCACATAAGTAAGGTTAGATTGTTTCCTTATGAAAAACAAAAAGATTATATTATTGGATTATTTCGTGGAAGCACTTAATTGGACCTGGCTTATATATATTAACAGAGAAACCATTGTATTGCATTATTAAAAAAAAAATTCATTGTATTTGCTGAAGCTTTAACAATAATCAATGGATACAGAAGAATGTTCATATTCATGGAAACAAGACTCAAAGCTCAACAACCACATCCCAATAGCTCAACTAATGCAAGTACTCGAAGCTCTTAAACAAGCTTCTCACAATATACAAAACCACCATAATCACTTTTCAGATTCCGATTATTCACCATCCATAAAAGCACTTTTCCAACTCCAAACAATTCTCTCCACCGATTCCATCCTCTCTCAACACCTTAACCGCCTCAAGACCCTAGTCGACTCGCTTCACAACTCAAAACCGAGTATCAAATCGTTCTTAACTCGTCCTCTCGCCACTCACTCCATCACTAAAGTCGCCGCCGCCATTGAATCCGAACTCCAGTCATGGATCGACTACGAAACCATCACCGCCGTCTCTAGTTTCATCTCCACCACCAACAACAACAACGACGAAAACAAAAACGAGTTGCTTCCGCTTTTAACTCGTTTCTCTCAGCGACTCTCACAAGGCTTCAACCGCGAGTTACAACAACTCGTTCTCAGTTTCAAACTCTTCTCTTCCCTCGAATCGCTTCTCTTGGACGATAAATCCTCTCACCGTATTCGCGAACACGCCGGTACTGCAATCGCGGCCTTGATTCGTTTCAACAAGGATGTATTCGTCGGTAAACTTTGTATGAGTCCAACCGTTCGAGCTTTGGTTAACATCGCTTCCGTTCGTTCAATCGAAGTTCTCTGTTCTCTAATCAGATCAATTAGGTCACCGATCGTCGATGAAGTCGAATCAAACGGTGAAATACCAAAAATCATAGCGTTGTTAAGTTCTCATGAAACGAAATTAAATGTTTTAGCGATGGAGTGTGTTCTTGAAATTGGCTATTACGGAAGGAAGGAAGCGGTTGAAGGTATGTTGAAGGAAGGCGTTGTGGAGAAGCTTGTCGAATTGCAGAGATTGGAGGTTAATAATGGAAGGAACAGTGATTTTGCAAACTGTGTAAAGAGATTTGCAGTGCAATTGGAGGTTGGGGAAGGGTTGAGGCAAAGAGAGAAAAGGGAATTTAAGGGTGAAATATTGATGAGAGTTAGAAAAGTTTGTGTTTCTGATGCTGAAACTGTTAGTATTGTTGCTGAAGTTTTATGGGGTACTTCTCCTTAGAATTATACTTTGATTGTTAAGTTATGTTTTGTGGAGCCAATTATTAGTAGTTTTTTTTTTGTAATCAAGAAATTGGTATATTAATTCAAAAAAAGAGAAAGAAATACAAAGTGACATAATTAAAACAAGATTCAAACCCAAATATCATGAATTTCGCTAACCGAGGCCTAAAATTCCTCTTATTCTACCCTTTATAAACAATTGAATCAATTATATTATCAACTAATCTCGTATTTCCTACCAGAGTCTCCAAAAACATATATCATTTTGGTAGCGCCAAACACCGTAAATCGTTTTTGCAGCAGGCATTTTAAACAAATTCGTCCCTCAACCTTTACTTTTACTAGTTGCAATGATTCACTTGAGTTCATTTGTCCACAGCCACAAGACTCATGTGTTATCTGAATTCAATCTAATACTTTTTTTTCAAATAGTTTTTGAAATTCTGGTGTATGCCAGTCTTCAGATGTTATACTCAATGTCTAAACATCTGATATGACATAATAAATACACTGCAAGGTAGATACCCAATTTTTATGATTCGGTACTGAAGAGTAACAGAAGCACAGTTTAACCAAGCTGTACCAGATCTACTTTGAAGATCCAGAGGATAGAACACTGATGTGCCTAGTTCTGCTCATCTGTGGTACATGATCAGCAGAGAGCAAACAGTCTTTGCAGTTCTGTTTCTTCTGCACAGATATCAGCATGAAGTCTTAACAAGTTCTGAGACATCATCTGTTACAACATTACAGTTTTACCTTGATATATAACAGACAGAATTATAAAGTGTTGAAGGTAAAAACACAAATCAGTTGTTGACCCAGTTCGGTGAAATACACCTACTCTGGGGGCATACCAAGCCAGGAAGAAGATCCACTATTAGCAATATTAATTCAGGACTAAACTTCACAAGTTCCCATCCTTCACTTAATCATCTACCCAGTGCAACCTATACCTAGGAACTCCTAGATAGAAACCTACCAGTTTCCATTCCTATTGTCGCAACAACAGAAGTCTTACTCCTACTCAAGAAGCAGTGCCCTCCCACTTGGTTTACTACATTACAATGAATATGAAGTAATGCAGAAATACTTAGACTTGCTTCACAGCTTCATCCAAGAACACTCAAACTCTTACCTACAGGTTTCGAGTTACCTACATGGTAACCTTGCCACAGACCGACAGGTTTTCCTAACAAAACACCCCCAATGTTACATTATTTGTCTATCAAACCCTAGGTTACAATCTGCTATTTATAACCTATTACCTAACTCAGCAAGTTTTTCTCCTTGCTGTTACAACTCAGCAGCAAACTTCTCCTATAATCAAGGTCTTCAATCTTCTAGTTCCTAAAATATCTCCATATTTAGAAACAGTATTTTCTTCAAATATTCTGATTGATTCTTGATTGATCTTCAGATTCTCCACAAGAAACGCCACATATATTCTCAGAGTATTTAAGTACTAGAACTGTAACTGAATTATCAATTCTGTTGACGTGATGTCAGGTCAGATGTCATGACATTACATCTAACATGTTTTCCTAGATGTTGAACTTTTTCAACACAACAAATAACCTCTTCCACAATTTAGATCACTTAGAATAGTTAGGTTATAAGTCACAGCTGTTACAAACATTCAACATATAACATAGTTACTTAATCAGTACTTAGTTTCAGGCGCGATGTCACATGCTGATGTTGTGACATCTTACATAACATGTTGGTCCAGATGTTGAACTTCTTCAACACCACATATTAAAGCAACAGAGGGGATCTGGGTAAACTTGCTTTCTTATTTGTTTTACAAATGAAGCCAACTCTCCAGCCAGGGCACTTACAATCTCCCCCTTTGGCAAATTTTGGCTAAAACAAATAAGTGCAAGTTGTATTTTGGGACCAGGCCACAACACAGTTGAGATGTTACAACATCTTGTCTAACATCTTCTTTTGTAGAGGCTGATGTCCTTTGAGCAAACAACAAACCTCTATCTTCAACTGTGAGCAACTCCAAACCATCGATGCCCCAAGAGGATTTCTTTTCTCAAGATTATTACTTGTGATCATGTAACTCAGATCACAAGTCACAACTATCCTCTTAACTCAGAACACAAGACACAAACAAAGTTACTTACTTAAGGATCATGTTGCTTTCACCTGAGTCTTGCTGGACATTGCCGTGTGTTGCTTTCACCTGAGTCTCGCCTGAGACTACTGGGTCCCTATCTTTCTCCCCCTTTTTGGCCAGAATTTGACAAAGACTGCCCATACAGATCCGTACCCATGCACAATTTTCCCAGATGCTAACAAACTTCATATTGCTGAAACCCTCTGATGAAGAGAAAGAATAGAGAGAGTCTTCATAAATAATGCAATTTTGGCATAGATAGTAACGATCTTGGTACTTTACTCTGACAGTTTCAGTACCCTAGGACTGGTTTTAATACAGGTACCTACCCTTGGGTTTGACCCTTTGACCATTGTCAGACATTTGTCTTTTAGAACCGACTACACCTTTTAAGTACTCTGACAAGTTATCATCTAAACATTCCAGCTCACTAAACAGCTCCATAATGAGACACAACAGCCCTGTTTTCTTAGCAGATGAAAACATGCTCAAATCCTATGTCGTCATACATTCAGCTAATTTGAAACCATTCTATTTTCACAAAGCGGATGGTTACTCCCTCTGAGTCATACAGCTGTACACACATGGATTTATTAATAATAATCCACACTTCATCCAATTTTCCTCCTGTCTGTAGTTTTAGAGGAAATTAGGAACAAGGTCATTACCAATGTGATGACATTCGGTCAGACATAGTCCTTTTCAGTTTTGAACACATTATTCCAATAGTTAATAAGGTGCCACACTTTATATCCTACGAGTTTGATGGAGACCTTTTGTACAACTCAATACTCCCCCTATTAGGGACAATCACTTCTCCTCATGGAAACAAGTAGGACACATTCAATACTCAGTTGGACCTTCAAGGTGGTTTCTGATTCAAGGTAAATAGGACCCCTTGATGAATGGAAAACATAAGACGCATCTTCATGTCTTCAAGAGCGCACCCTCTGTTCAATAATATTGGTTGAACGCATTCATACTGTGAATCAAACTTTCTCGATAATAATCAGCTGTCATATGTTGATTATCTTGATTCTTAGAGTCCACTGCTGAGATAGACCAAATGCCACTGTTTGATTATCTCCTTCATGAATCTTAAAAAATCAATTGCCACCTTTTGACTTCTCCATGTTTATCAGACTTTTCCCAAAGATATTCTGATCTTCCAATTGAAATTTGAACTTCAAGCTACAAGTTATCACAAAAGGCTTAGATACACCGAGTCAGGAACATGTAACAACTCCAAAGAGCTGCAAAGAGACGATCTTTTTGAAGGATCTAATTTTCAACTTCGTAGATCATCCTATCTTAAGTTGATGTGCCACTTTACCAACCAAGAATCTGATGTTGAACCAAATGTCACAGCATTATGTTATAACATCTAGTTGTTGAATTCAGCTCCAGACTGATCCAAGTGACCCTCATCAAGATTATGATGTCTTCTTCTTCTTGTGGCTTTAAGTCTGAACATGTTTCCAGGAAACCTTTTCAAGGATCAAATGATTTTTCTGTCACCAAGGAGATAGCTCTAAGGTATCACTCTTCCTGTGATTCTTCACAGGGTCTAGAAGAAGGAATGTTCCCACATCTTTAAGAACATCAGTTATCTTGAACTCCAAGGATAGTCAATTAAATACTTGTACTTGTCACAAATAGCAATTGATCATAAATCCTTCCCATTATCCAGTAAGATACTTTCCCATTTGAATACTTTGACATACTCTTCGTGTGTTAATATCTTCTTCTTGCAAGCTCTTTCTTTGAGAGACCAAAGAGTTGAGATATCTAGGTTGCCACCCTTGACTCAAGTAAATAGAATTTTCTCTGAACAAGCTCTACTTACTTCAACCGATTTGAGACTCCTACCAGATCAGATTCATCCTTAGGAATGAGAGAGATGAATCCTTTCTTGCAAATATGTCACATAACACCCAGAACCCATGTGACATAGGTCAACAGCCAGCTAAACACCAGGATGAACTAATGTGAGTAGGTGAACCAAATCTTCCCCTCAAGCTATCAGACATGGAAGCTCCACACAGAATATCCATGCATTGTGCACAAATGTCTCGACATGACATATGACTTCCCTACCAGATTTTACTAACTCCAAGAGTTATACCTTAACCAAACTCTGAGTCTTCATATTCTTGAAAGGTCTTCCACCTCTAATCACGATGGTTAAATGACAAGACTCATGATCCCAATCTACTTCTATGAAGAAGCAATAATGTTGTACCATCATTGGCTTTTATTAACCAATGAGCTGGTCTTTACTTCACACCATAGTACTCCAGGGAACAACTGCTCAGCCCTGATCAAAGTCATATCTCAACCAGCTTTACTTCTAGAGTTCTGACTTCTAAAGTAACCTTCGGGAGTACACAGACATAGTTGACTTTACCATTGTCAACTTTGCACACACAAATGTCTCCTCTTCCAGGTCAGGAGTAGGTTCCAAACAAAGGTATCCCTTTGTTTGACACCCAAAACATATGCTCTTCAGCTAGTAGCTGCATCCTTGTTCCACCATCACATAGAACATCAGTTCCATCACCTTGGAACAAGGCCTTCTTTGAAATTCTTCAAGGTCTTCGTATAACACTAATCCGTGATTATGTGATTCTTACCATCCTGACCGAAGACTGTCTTCATGAGTGGGCTTGAGAGGACTCAAGTATCTGTGACATCTTCAATAGATTATCTTGAATACAGTAGTCTTCAATCCATAAGAGGGGAAACACATCAGAGCTTGAGTTTTGCCAAGTATTATGCAGCGGAAGAACATAATACAACTCAATCTTTGCACACACACTCCACCATACTAGTCTTTAAAAATAGATCAATTTAGACTATGGTATAAACCT